TGTGGGATGATGTTTGGCAGCTAGAGGGAGAGTTTGTTGAGTGATGCTTCCATTCGCATCCACGTCTGTCCGCCTCCCATCATATGTTCGTGTGTTGCATGCGTGGTGTGAGCGTGTGCAAGAATTTGTGTTTTGTGTAGTTTGGATTTTTTGAGTGTGTGTGAATGCTACTTGGCTTGAGCAGATATCTGAAGTGACTCATCTGCTCAAGTGCTTTCCGATGAGCCAAGGATCGCTTCAATCGAAGCACAAACGAGAAAGTTACGAACGTTCGAAGTTCGTATGCCTTTCATGTCTGGTTGTGGCGACTATGGGAAGTTGTGGGAATGACTTTATATGGGGTACAGACTTTTGGGGGTTGGGAAATTCGTACCCATCATTGTAGATGCTGCCAAGTGGTTGGGTGAAGCCAAACCAGGTTGGCAAGTGTGGCCAAGTTGGGTGAGGTGGATTGTGGAGGTTGGGAAAATGACAAGGGTGAAAGTTGGGTTGCCTATTCAGAGGGAAATTGTGTGGCATGGGGGTTTTCTTGGTTGGGAACTCCCTTGGGGCCTTCTCTCTCGTCCTCCTCTTCCCTCCCACCTGGTTTATTGCTACTCTAACTTTCTTGTGTGCAACTTGTGTGAAATTGTGAGACAATTGTGATTGAGTTAAGATTCTATGGCAGCTTACCCCCTAGTGCGCCGGAATTCATAACTCAAGAAATTCTTCACCTTATCGTACGATTCAAAATGGGAATTGTAGCCACGGACTAGGTCTACATCATATCTGAGTTTGGTGAAGTTTTGACAGTGCACTTTTCGTCGACGGCGATTCTTGTGAGCCCGTCTTTTCTGTCCAGAATTCTAAGCCAATGAGTTTGAGAAATTTAGGCACCTAATCATCGTAGACCTCGTCCATAGTCTCTAACACTTTGCGCGTCAACGCCCGACCAGCAGCAGCAGCCAGCCGTATGCAACAGCGCACGTGCAGCCGCAATCGGGGACGTGAGCAAGACAACCCCATATACGGAGAGCAAACGCTGGAGCAGGGTACCTAGTCCATAGGATGGTTAATAGACTTGTAGGCGTGAGGAACTGGGTTGAAAGTTAAGATTCTGCGCACCATAGCGGAATACAAAGGGCCGCTGAAAATGGGGGGTAGTGGCATGACACATGGAGGTACAAGCGATCTCTATGATCAGGCCAATGCGACGCTCAGCGATCCCATTTTGCTGCGAGGGGTTCGGCTGCGAGTAGGAAATTCGGTTGCCATGCGCACGACAAAATTGCTCAATCTCATTGGAGGTAAGCTTTCCATTCTGGTTAGAGTACAAATGAATCACAGGACGGCCTCGATGGGTGAGGATGGCCGCAATCCACGGGAAAAGAGCGTTAGGCTTATCGGCCTTCCACTACAACGGAAACACGGTGGTGAGCAAAATCGTCCATGTGCAGAATATGAAGAGGCTCTCATAGCAAAACTCTTGGGAGAATGTGGCAAGAGTGCCCCTCATAGAAGAGTATGTACAAGTTGCAAACCGCTCATGCCTGGGTAATGTGGTGGTGACACCCAGGTCCTAAAAACCCACATCGACCAAGTTCCTACAAAACAACAAAAGACGCAGACTTGCTAGGGTGCCAGAGGGCACTGCCAGACATGGGCTGCGCTGGACGGCCTGTTTATAGATAGGATCAGCAACTGCGATTGCAAGAGGAGCTCGAAGAGGCGCAAGGGCGTGTGGTCACGGAAGTAACACCGCCCGGAGTTGAGCATGAAGGAATGCGACGCATCTGCAATGGTCACACCTATGCTAGCAACAGCAAAGGATCCTAAGCACCTGGAGATCCTGAACTCGATTCACATGAGTATTAAGGTCCACCAACACTAGGTTTCAAAGCATACATGGCAGCAGGAAGATTTTGTCATGTCCATACTAGCGATAGGCACACCACGTTGCATTAGAGAGTATCAGCCCAAGAGAGCAGCCCGATGTCCAGAGCTCATATAATAGAGGTTGTTGTGGCGACGAAAGCACCGTGTTGCGGAGTGATCCTGCGTCCGCAGACCATGCCAGCACTGAGGTTAGTCTGAAGATGATACTGGCGGGCATGGTGACACGGCGACCCGACACCCAGCTCGCAGGACCGCCATTGCGACCAACGGTCCTCGGGCCACCAGGGCCCTACTACTGTTGAGAGACCCACTGCTGCAATGACCGCCACTGCTGCTACTGCAGCAGCTGCTACTGATGCTGTACCACCACACCCCCAAAGCCAGGACCTCCTCCAACGTCAGCCCCTTAAGACGCGCAACCATCCCGACGCATCCATAACCATGATCCCCTTTGCGCCTGCCATGCCTGCCCGAGGCAGAAGCAGCAGCTGCAACCTCAGTAGTAGGAGCGGGCTCTGCAACAGAAGTGGAGGCAGAAGAGACAGGGGCCTGAGGGGGGGCACACCCCTTGAAAAAAGGGGGTACCACCCCACCAGTAGTCGCGGCGATGGTGCGGAGGCGAGTCTTGATCTTAGTGAGACTAGTGTCAAAATGATCGAGAGGGAGCTCAGTAGGGTGCATGGCGAGGAGGGCGTCGCGTGCGGGAGGCGAGTCGCAAGGAGATGAAGGGTGAGATACATGGGGCAGGGGAACAATACAAGCTGCTAAGTAGTGCAAGCGTCACAATAGCAAGCGTCAAGTACGAGAAGGTGAGTCATAAGGTCAGCAACAAGTGTGGAAAGATAGTAGGTCGGAGAAGAGAAAGGGCATGGTGAGACAGCCCAGGGTAGCGGAAGAAAGGTGGAGTAGCGAGTGGAGAAACTCCTTCGCTGTCCTGACCTAACGGAAATGAGCACGCTTGGCACGAGGGAGGAGGCGACCAAGGGCATGACGTGTTGCTGCATCGCGCGAATCCCAAACCAAGTGCTTGGCCTGAGCAATGGCGTGGGCCTCCTGGTCTGCCTCGGAGGTGCCAAAGGGGGGCGCGGGGGAAAAGACAGCGAACCCGACATATGGGCGTACATGTATACATCGTCCTGGTGCTAACTCTGTACATGAAGCTGAACTCCACTCAGCCAAACGTCAAAGTCAATCATTCGGCCCTCCACATCGAAGTGCAGCACAAACTCTGAAGTCATAGTGAACGGGACGAGCGGCGCAATTATAGGCTCATGAGTGGCAGAGGCGGGAAGCTAGGTCAAGGCCGGCTTGTTGAGAATCCAGGATGGCAGCAAACTGAAAGAGCGAACCGAAAAGGGCGTGCAGCGGCTAAGGCTGACACCAGGCACAGCAGTGGCAAGAGTAGAAGGTGGAGACGTAGTGGCGACAGCCAGGGCGACAATTGTAACGAGCTTGCAAGCTCAAGTAGATGCAGTGGTAATGTGTGTAGGGAGCAAGCGGCAGTAGCGGGGAAATATGTAGCTGCAGCAGCCGGCGGCAACTTGCAGCGCTAGGGCAGCGCGAGCGTGAGCGTAGGCAATTCAGGGGCAGGTAGTGCGGGCATGGGCGCTGTAAGCAGTGCGAGCGCGGCTGCACGTGCGCGGGCAGGAGCGCGTGCAGTTGGGTGGGGGGCTGAACGAACACAGGCAGCTGCGCGAGCTTCTGCGCGAGCGGGTGCGCAAGTGCACACAGCCCCGCGAGCGGCGGCGGCGTTAGCGGCGGCGGCAACAGCAACGCCAGCGGAAGAAGTGTTAGCAGCGAGCGAGCAGGCTGCAGTGCAAGTGCGCGCGCGTAGTGCGGGCAACGAAAGCGGGCCACGGGAGGCGGTGACAATGCGAGTGATGGCGGCAGTGTGAGAGCGATGGTGGCAGCGCGAGCGCGTGGGTGGCAGCGCGAGCGCTTGGGTGGCAGCGAGTGTGCGGGCGGCAGTACGAGCGCACCTAGGGCGCTACGAGGCACTAATACGGAGCGAGCTAAGGTCGGACGAGGGTGGGCTAGACCAGGGTGGGGCGAGGCGGAAGGGTGGATCCTAAACATACGATTGATACCATGTCAACAAGTTCAAAACTACTACTGATATCAGGAGGGCATTTAGGGTTCATATGAATGAACCAAAGTTACACCCTCTACAACTTAGAGTGTGTAACCCTATCTAAGCAAGTTAGGCTACAAACAGATATAGTTATAACTTGACATATAATGCCTAGTTTTGATTATCCTAGTGATAAATATTTGTGGAGGAACATGCCTAATTGGTAACCACTAGGTCAATATGTTCGTAAGGAAGGCAAGAGAAGAGAGTGCATCTTGCTCCCCTTCTAGAAGGCAACTCCAATTTCCTTTTTATTCGGTTTTCTTCCCTTATTAATTGTTACTGTACTTGTGCCATGGCTGCTCAATAGAGCGAGCAAGCAGGACCCGATTCCCCGCATTGCTTACATGCGTAGGCTGGAAGATCAGAGGCTGAACAGTGACGCGGTAGCCGGTAAAGGCGGAACGTGTGCTGTGTATTATGCTTCGCAATGCCGCTCATTAGAACTCTAAGCTGCTGGTTTGCTGAGAAGAGTGTAATTGCAGGAAAGCAGCCAGGTGTGGTTGGGACATGAGGGAACAGGTGAGGCGGAATCGTGCCCTGATGTGCGCAAGGAGAGAGTCAAATCGATCATCCTGTGATAAGTGCAGTTGGGCAGAGAAGAGAATGGGGGGAGGAAGATGGATAGAGCGAGACCGGGTGAGGGAGAGCAGGTGAGGCGGAATAGAGCCCTGATGTGCGCAAGGAGCAAGCAGAGTCAGTCGTCCGCAGACTAAGTGTAGTGGGGCAGAAAGGAGAACGACGCGGGAAAAGATGTGTAGGAAGAGACCGGGTGACAAAGAGCAGGTGAGGTGGAATTGTGTTGTGAGGCGTCTCAGAAACACGAACTGGATGCTCCTGCTGCAACTCCTATCACGGCCGGGTAATGAGTTAAGGCGGGTTAGACTAAACAGTTGTTTTGAACTGAACTTACTTTGGGGTTGGTTATGGGGAAATCAGAAATGAGTTGCTGCAGCTGTTGCACGGCTTTGGTTGCCCTGACGGGAAGAGAGGAATGGGCGGGATGGAGAGACAGACGGATGGGATTGATGGCAGGGGGGGGGGGAAGAAGGGGAAGGCAAGGATGCGGGGGTGGAGGGGAGGAAGAGGGATGCGGGGGAATGGGTGGGTGGGAGGGATGGAACGGAGGGAGGTATCGTGGGGAGGGATGGCGGGGTTAGCAGGGGTTGGAGGAAAGGGTGAGAGGAATAGGAGAGACGGGAGGGATGGACAGAAGCGGATTGAGGATGGGAGGGAAGCAAAGGATGGTGGGACTGGGGAAGTGCAAGATGAGCCGCCGTGCACCTATGGGCGCCGTGCACCTATGGGCGCCGTGCACCTATGGGCGCCGTGCACCTATGGGCGCCGTGCACCTATGGGCGCCGTGCACCTATGGGCGCCGTGCACCTATGGGCGCCGTGCACCTATGGGCGCCGTGCACCTATGGGTCCCGTGCACCTATGGGTGCCGTGCACCTATGGGCGCCGTGCACCTATGGGCGCCGTGCACCTATGGGCGCCGTGCACCTAGGTGTGCCGTGCACCTAAGGGCGCCGTGCACCTACGGGCGCCGTGCACCTACGGGTGCCGTACACCTACGGGTGCCGTACACCTATGGGTGCCGTACACCTTTGGGTGACGTACACCTATGGGTACTGGTGGTTGTAGGAAAGCGAAAAGCAACCGGACTTGAATAAGGGTAAGACTTGATGGAACTTGGGGGGGGGGGGGGGGGGTAAGGAAGCGACAGGCGGGGTGGAGGGAAGGGAAGGAGACGGGATGGATGAGAAGGACAAAATGAGAATGAAGCGCTCCATAAACTGGATGGGAGGCGCTGGGATGGTGGAGGTGGAAAGAAGAGGAGCAGTAAACGGGATGGAAAGAAAACTAGGAAATAAGAGAGGAGATTGAGGGTTGGGGATGGAGAGAACCAATGGAATAAACATCACTGTTTAAAGACCCAAAGTTGGTTTGGAAGGGATGGAAGGAAGTAGATGGGAAAAGAAGGAAACTGGAGGGAAACAAGTGGATGGGAGCAAGGTTCAAAAATACGGTAATCGTAAATTACGGTCCGTTTTTTACGGTAAATTTTTAAAAATACGGCCGTTTTTTTGTTAGAGAACTCTTATCACCAAGAAAAAAAAGGCAAAAACAAGGTCGAATACATTTTCGATCACGCTTACGCATGCACACAAGCAAAGAGGGGATCGTCCTCTTCATCCTGGTGGTTTTTCCCATCAATTTGGTCCCATAATATGGATGATTTTTTCTTTAGACGAAAATCACCTTTTGGAACCGTTTTTTACCCTTTTTTACGGCCGTTTTTTACGATACCATTTTTTACGGTAAATTTTCAAAAATACGGTCGTTTTTTTTAACCTTGGATGGGAGGCAAAGTAGGGGGTGGGAGAAAAATAAGGGGGTGGGAGAAAAAGAAGGGGATGGGAAGGAAGTGGCAGTAAGTGGCGTAAGTGGCAGGAGGATCCAGCGGTGAGGATTGAAGGTGGAGTCTTGCCTGGGGGAGAATCGTGTGGAGGGGGGTGATTGGACGACTTGCTTCCACGCGGCTGCACAACCCCACATGAAGCCCAGCTCGTCCCCTGATGGTGGTGCGGGATGGGGTGGAGTGGGGTGCAGAGCAGTGCCGTGGGATGGGATGGGGTGGGGTGGGGTGGGGTGGAATAGGACGGGATGGAATGGACTGTGTGGGACGGGGCGGGCCAGGGCGGGATGTGGGGGAATGGATGTTCCAGAATGATGAGTGCTGCGTGGTGTATATTCCATGATGGCATGGCGTATGACGTGCGTTGTGGCAGAACAGGTACAATAATGGTTTATGGATGCTATCTTATACCCCCCCTCGTAAGTCAGCTCGTGTGGTGTAGGACGTATGATATGCATTGCGTACATCGCAGCTTATGCATGCCATGTGCGTACGAATTTCCACCCACCTATCATGAACCCATGCTCCAAGCCCGTTTCTCTCCCCTCTTCTCTTCCCAATCGCAGGCCGTCCCTGTCAATCACGACAAAACTAGGTCAGCCGATGATGCTACTCTTCAGGGAGAAAGAGGGAGACGATAACGGGAAAACGCATGGTGAGAAAGTAATAACTGTGTCTGGATTGATTATATGTAGCTTTTGAGTCGAAAGACATATCTCAAGTGATGAAGAGGGAATGTCGCAACTAGTGCGATAAGTACGCAAGCCCGGCTTAGTAAATAGCAATGACGTGCGAGGATGGTTTGACAAACGGAGAGGAGAGAGACAAGAAGTCGCTGGGCACAGTATGCTGCGACTCGTAACGTCTCCGCTAACGTACAAGCAGTGAAAGAAATGAGGGATAAGTGACGAAGGTGCTCACTGATATCCCTCGGCGTGGCCCTGCGCTAATAACTGCTCTTCTAAGCCCACCACCGCATCTAAATCCACACGTTTCCCTAATGATACCAGAAATCGCGGCGAATTCAACGCTAACACCGAGAAACAACACGTTAGAGATTGAGGTTCAGCGTCGCAGAAAAAACCCTAATTGGTCTAGAAACCGACACGCCCAATTAGGTTCCTAAAAGTGAGGCGCGCCGAGGCCTTATAGCAAGGCGCGACGAGGGCCATATGCCAGGGATACTCCTTAGATTACGTGAGGACAGAATATAACGCGTCGCTACCCACTGGATCAACTCGAGGGTGTTACTTCGGCGCAACGGAAGCCCACAGGCGCGCTACACGGGGAGTTGCTTCTTAGTTGCGCGGGTGTGCACTCACGGCGTGTAACTTTTTTCCGAACCGTCGAATGTCCGGACCAGCTTCTCAAAACCGTACGGACAACGTCGGTTTGGAAGGTTTTGGACATTTGTCCGGACGAGTCCCGTACGGACCTCTATGGTACACCCTCATTCTCGTTAGACTGGCATATGTTATACTGACCAGGACGCTTAGTGTAGCCGCAGCGGACCAAAGAAGGTCCAATCACATGCTTTTTACTGACAGTTTGACCCAGGGCGTTTAGTCAAGGTGTGAAGTAAAGAAAACAGGAATGAATGACTAAGGAAAGATTGGGTACAAATACTACCCTAGAAAACCTGTACCCCATATGTGCTACCCCACTATAGCCTACAGCAACTATGTCATATAAATCTGACACACCCCCATAGGCAAAGTGGGGGAGAACAAGGGGTCACAAGACCAGTCAAGCAAAGCAAAGCAAGCTCAGGGTGGATCACAAAGTCACCACACAGTCCGAGCACAAGAGTAGGGCCAGAGGCCAGTTCACATGCAGGAGTACAGACATATATATAAAACTAGACAAGCAAGAGCAGGCATATATATATGTCACAGTACAAGTGAAGTCAAGAGGAGAGCAAGTGAGGCAAGACAGGCACAAGACCCAGCTGGGTGCAAAAGCGCTGATGGTCACAAGGCGCGAGTGCCTTGGTGAACACATCAGCAGTGTTGGCCTCAGAGGCCACGTACGCAAGTCGCAACTGACCACGCTGCTGCAGCTCACGAGCAAGGAAGTAGCGGAGAGCAATGTGCTTCGTTCTGTGCTCCAAGCGCTGCTCTCGACACAAGGCCAGCATGGCCTTGTTGTCTACGTACAGCACTGGAGGAGAACGAGGCGGCTCTCCAAGGTCAGTCAGCAGGTAGGTGAGCCAGCGAAGCTCCTGTGCAGCCATGGCCCCGGCGTAGATCTCAGCCTCACAACTGGAGCCGAGAACCGAAGACGAGCGAGTAGACCGCCACGAGACAGAGCCGGAACCAAGACTGAAGGTGTAACCCTGTGACGACCGCTGCGTAGCCTGGTCGTCAGCCCAAGAAGCGTCCGCGTGGCCGGTAAGGACCACTGGACTCCGCCCTCCAAGCACTAGCCCCATGCCCGACGTACTGCACAGGTAGCGCAATACCCTCTTCGCTGCAGCCATGTGCTCCGGTCTGTGTCTCCCAGGAGCAACATAGCGTGCAAGAATGCTCAGAGGGTATGCAAGGTCAGGTCGTGTGCAGGTCATCAGGTACATGAGGCAGCCAACAAGCTCTGCATACGGACCACTCGACTCTACGGACTCATCCGAAGGCAGAGTTTAGAGTGAGTGGCGAGTAGGCAGAGGAGTGGCCTGAGGCGAGGAGTACGTGAAGCCGAAGCGCTGAAGGACCTGCTGCACCATGTGTGACTGAGTCAAGGTAATGGTGCGGCGTGCTCTGTCCCGAGTGATCTGCAAGCCAAGGTAGCTGCGCAGTTCACCCAGGTCTGTGCACGTGTGTCTCTTCAGCAGCTCGGACTTCACGTAGGCGAGTCCAGCAGTGTCCGCTGTGGCAAAGACCAAGTCGTCGACGTACACGAGGATGTAGAACGGCGGCAGGGAAGTGTCGGTGCGAAGAAACAGCGACGGGTCAGCAGTAGAAGGAGCAAACCCAAGAGCCGCAAGCGTAGTCCTCAGTGTGTCGTGCCACTCACGCGGTGCCTGGCGGAGACCGTAGACTGGCCGTCAGAGGCTCCACTGGGTGCCAGGAGGGAAAGTCCCAGTGAAGCCAGGTGGACGGCGAAGCCAGATCTCCTCGTGCAGGCTACCCTGCAAGAACGCAGTGCTGAAGTCGAGAGAGTGAAGCTCGTAGTCGCGCTGAGCGGCTATGTGCAGCAGCACCCAAAGAGTAGTCATCTTCGGGGTGGGAGAGAAGGTCTGAAAGTAGTCAACTCCCTGCCGCTGACTGAAGCCACGAGCAACGTACCGTGCCTTGAAGACAGGTGGAGAGCCCGGCGGCCGCTTCCCCTGAAGATCCACATGCCACTGACGATGTTCGCCCCAGGAGGGGGAACCGCGTCAACGTAGGTGCCTGTGGACTTCCAGGAAGCCATCTCTGCATCCATAGCTGCCTGCCACTGAGAGGAGTAGGGACCCTCTACGGCCTCCGCGTAAGAACGCGGAGTCGGGATGTCTAGTGCATCCGGGTCTCCCTCAGGGGCAAGCAGTACAGACGCGAGATGAGGTGAAGCAGCCGCTAGACACTGTAACTCCTCCTGCCTGTCCTCTAGGACGTCCGTGCCAAGAGCACACTCACCCCCGACGGACGGAGGACAGACAGACGCAGACTCAGCAACAAGACTAGCAGCGTAGTCGAGACGACAGCGAGCAGCAAAGTCGACGAGCTCAGCGACTAGAGCAGACGCAGCAGTGGACTCAAAAGAGGGGTCAGTGACGACAGTAGCAAGCAGACGCGTGACAGTAGGACTGGCAGCACGAAGAGAGTCCGACTCAGGGTCGGCAAGCGCAGGAAGAGAGGACTCAGGAGGAGAAGGCAAAGGGGCACGCAGAGGAGCAGTGGACGGACGTAAAGACATCCGGTGCGTGCCAGGGACAGGAGGTGGACGCTGACGCGAACGGCGACCACTAGCGCGAGCAGCACGAGCAGGCGACGCGGGACAAGACGCAGGCTCACGACGCTCAGCAAGACCTCCAGTAGGACCAGTGTAAGGAGAGGGAGCAGGCAGTGGAGAGGAAGGCTCCAGCAGGGACTGCGACTGGACAGGCGGTGGACCCTCTACTGGAGGAGAAAGACCAAGAACCTGCTGCAGGAGCGGAACGAAGTACAGCCGAGGCCGCGCGGCAGCTCCAGACTCAGCAGGGACACCACCAGCACCCTCAGCGACAGCACCAGCGCCACCCTCACCTCCAGCGGCAGGACCAACAGCAGTAGGCTCAGCACCAACGCCCTCAGCAGCTCCAGCTCCAGGAGGACCCGCAGGTCCAGCAGCTCCGGGACCGGCAGCACCCGCACCCTCGACGGTCGAAGAAGCTCCAGCCCCAGCTCCAGCAGCACCTCCAGACTCAGCAGCACGCCTCCAGCGGCGAGCGAACCACTCGCGCAGCTCCTGTGGAGAGAGGGGCTCCCGGCGAGACGCAGCAGCAGAAGAAACCCCAGGCTCAGCAGCTCCAGACGCAGCACCCCCAGGCGCAGCAGCTCCCAGCTCAGCACCCCCAGGCTCACCAGCTCCTGACCCAGCACCCCCAGACCCAGCACCTCCAGGCACAGCACCCCCCGGCTCAGCACCCTCAGGCTCCGCACCCTCCGCAGTAGCACCCTCAGGCCCAGCACCCCCAGCAGTAGCACCCCCAGGCTCAGCACCCCCGCGCACAGCACCCCCAGAGTCAGCACCCCCAGGCTCAGCACCCGCAGCAGCACCAGAGTCACCAGTAACCTCGACCGGGTCAACGGCGTCTACCTGGGACACACCTGAGGGGGCAGGAACCTGAGGGGGAAGGGGGTCTACCGGGGGGGGAACCGGCACAAGGAAGTCCGGGGGAGGGGGGAGGGAAGGAGTGCGGTAGGGGAAGAGACGGTAGAAGGGGACTGACTCGTCGAACGTGACGTCCTGGGAGGACAGAACACGACGAGAGGAGGGGTGGTAAAACTGCCACCCTGGGGCGTCAGTGGGGAAGCCAAGGAAGACACAGGGAGCAGCGCGAGGGGACAGCTTGTCCGCTGACAAGTCGCGGACAAACGCCCGAGATCCCCAGACACGGAACACAGACGCATCGCCAACCTTCCCCGTCCACAGCAAGGCTGGGGACATCGCAGGCCGAGAGACCCGGGGGTGAAGGTTGAGCTGATGCGCCGCGTACCTCACCGCAAACGGCCACAGAAAATGGGGGGCAGCCGCATGCATCATGGACGTACGAGCGACATCCATGACCATGCCAATGCGGCGCTCAGCAATCCCATTTTGCTGCGGTGAGTCCGGAAGCGTGAAGGTCTGGCGGATCCCCCGTGCACGACAGTAGTCTCGCAGAAGGCGAGAAGAGAACTCTCCGCCTCGGTCAGAGTGCAGACGCAGAACAGGAAAGTCCGAGCCGAAGCTCTTCCTGAGCTGGAGACGAGCCTCGCGGATCCAGTCGATCAGCACCTCAGTGACCGCACCCTTGCTGCGCAAGGGGAGGACTATGGTGTAACGCGAGTAGTCGTCAACCACCAACAGGAAGTAGCGCTCGTAACCCTGCCCACGGACGGGGGCTGGGCCCCACACATCCATGTGAAGCATCTGCAG